CTGGCGCCTTGAGGATGACATGGCCACACCCACGCTCACAGGTGTAGTCAGGAGAGACTAACACTGAACGCGTAATCAATCTGCACGTAGTAAGTGACGAGAGAAAGCCAGAGCAACGCGGGACTGACCTGGGTCCTCGGGCTGGGGGTGCATTAGGCGGAATGGTACCTCAGTGGCCACTTCACTAGGAAAAAAGGAGAATGCAGATTGGTAAGAACACACACACAACTGTAAAGCGCACAGGGTTCAGTGAGATCCAAAAGAAACCAGAAAGCAGGAAGTGGTCGAGTGGGAATTTTACATGTATTCCCTGGAATGTGTCCAGAAACCTCACTTTCGCATGGCCGAGGCAGCTGGGGTTTTTAGGGTCCTTTCCTCTTGGCCATTAGTTTCAGTGACATGATATCGTGGTAGACGGCAGGTGGACAGAAGATAGTTTTGAAAGCTATCCTTTGCACCACAATTTTTTCTGTTAAACCTAGGTAAGGCTGGTGCGCCGGGGACCAGGCACACCATCTCTTGCTAGAGAGCAGGACAGAGATGCACAGAGTCTACCAAATTCCAGAAGCTACAGGGCTTGGGGGTGACTTGGAATTTATACAAAAGGACGGAAGGAAAGGAGCCAGGAAGGCAAGTGGAAGGGAAATCTGGAGAAAGGAAGAAGGGAAAGATAGGTGTGTGTGTGTGTGTGTGTGTGTGTGTGTGTGTGTGTGTGTGTGTGTGTGTGTGTGTAAATAAGGGTTACTCCTTGCTTCACCCAGGACCCACCCACTCCTGCCCCGGGGTTACTGCACTGGTCAAAGCACATCTGTTTACAAGGCTGCTCTCATCAGACCCCAGGGTAGACGGGGTCTAGGAGGAGAGACACACCCAGAGCTCCATGCAAGGGACGGAGACGATAAGGGCCGGGGTGAAGAAGTAGGTAAGGTCAGTGCCTGCCCCCAGCATGTCGCACCTGCCGCCTCTTCGTGCATGATGTAAAAGGTAGCTGTCACTGTGCACAACAGGCAATAGGTGGAAATGACCCAAATGTCCATCAATAGAAGAATGGAGAAACAAAACGTGGTCTGGCCACACCATGGACTATGACTCAGCCATAAAAAGGAGTGAAGTACCGACACACGCTACTGCACGGATGGTGCTTGACAACATGCTAAGTGAAAGAAGCCAGACAGTAAAGGACGAATACTGTCTGATGCCATTTACGTGAGAGGTCCAGGGTAGGCAAACCTATAGAGGCAGACCGGTGTTGCCAGGGACTAAGGAGAGGGGAGAACGGGAGAGAGGGCCTCATAGGTACAGTTTTCTTTTGGGGGTGGTAAAAGTGTACAGGAGCTAGAGTGGTGACGGTTATACACCACCGTAAACTACTCGGCGCCACTGAACTGCACACTTTCAAATGGTTAAAATGATAAACTTCATGTTATGCATATCTTACCAAACACACACACATACACACACACACACACACACACGTACATACAGGCAGCTGCATGAGGTGTGTGTGTGTGTGTGTGTGTGTGTGTGTGTGTGTGTGTGTGTCTGTGTCCTTGCCCCATTGTGTGTGCAGGCCCCGTTGTGGTTTCTAAGAAAATTCCCGGCCTCACAGCTGTTCACCAAAAGGCAGTGGGCAGCGTTTCATTAGAGTTCTGAGCATAGCTGCCAGGAAACCAGATTTCAGTGTTACCATTGTGAAGCCCAGGTATGTGCCCTTGACATCCTGGGAATCAAGCAGAGAAGGAAGGAGATGAGGCTTACCTAGAGGTGAGCTCTCCCAGAAAGCTAGGGATGAAAGCAGACAGGGCTGTGATGACTGCCCACATTGGTATAACAACATGGCCCTACTCCCCATTACTCAGAGGCGGGACACGTCCCAGTCATGGCCTTCACCCACGACTCCAGGATCTTTACATCCCTTAATATTCAACCCAACGACTCCTCTCCACTTGCAATTTCATCTCTTCCTCAAATGGATTAGTTAAAAAGAGGAGTCGCTTAGGTCAAGCCTTGCTGTTTGAGACTAAAACCACAGACCGGAATTTCTCTCTTGGCCACAAAGGTCATTGTGAAATGCCTGGTATTCACTTATCTTGACCGCTGGAAGGAACGCTACCCGAGAAAATGAAAGAAAACACTGCACACTTTGAACAACAACAAATACAAACACTGTGTTAAACAAAATTGGCAGAATCAACCCCTGTTCTACTCTGTTGTCCCAACTAAAATTCAGGGAGCTCTTTATCTACTCATAAATTATGGAATACACACCTGGGCTTGCCTTTGGTGGCTGAAATGCCCCAGGCTCATCAAAGTGAGAGGCCAGAGCCTTTCACAATGGAATTTGAAAAGGAAAATGAGAGTTCAGATTTTCCCCTTTTGATAAGGTTTTAAAAATGGAAGAAATTCATTTCATAAATAAATGGAAAGCCGTTTCCTCCAAACTCGGAGCTATCTGTGCTCTTGTAGGAAAAGGAAACTCCCGAATCCTGTAATTACACATTGGAAGGAAAAGAAAGGTCTCCGCATTGTGGATGGATGCCTCCCTGAGATCTACCGAGCGTTCACCTGACAGCCGCCATTCTTGTCTGAAGTCCAGTCCAACACGGAACTGATTTCCCTTTTTGCATGTCATCGTCCATGTGAGCACATGCACACCCCCTCTTGTCAGGTGGCACTAATTGGGCACATATTTTGTCATCTGCTTCTCTACCTTTTCCACGTGCTGGCCTGCCAGGCTGAATCGTGAAACCAGACAAATCAGTCTCTCCGAAGCTCTACTTGGTAATCAGTAGGATTTGTGGGCCTTCCCTTGCTTTGTCTCCCAGTCATTCAGGAAGGAAACAGCTGGCCGAAGGCAGACAGCACAGTGGAACTTGCACACTCACCCAGACACCGTGAGCTTCACCTTGATCTGGTAAGACACCAGGATCCCCAGGACCATCCGGTCTATGCCCTCCTTTATGCTGCTCAAACAGAAAGGAAAAACAGAGGCGTGAAGGGGAGCCGGGAAAGCAACGGCTGCATGAACCAACCCCTCATCTCACTGCAGGCACGGCATCACAGGAGTATCTGCTCCAGGAACTGGTGGACTCCACCAAGCTGTCCAAGTTCTAGAACTTTCCATACTCAGGTCAGGGGAGGGGTCCCTTTCCTGCATTGTAGCTTAGCATTTCCCCTCTTGAAGTTCAGAGGGCAGGATGTGCTTCCTGGTTCTCCCCGCTCTGCCTCCATTGATGTTCATCCCCCTGCTTATCAGCCAGAAACGCTGTCCTCCTTGGCCCCTCCCCCTGCCCTACCGGCCATCCCCACCAGCCGGCCACCGAGTCCTCCACTGGCTTCTCCTACTGGGGTTATCTCAGTAACTTACCTCCCACATGCCAGACTCCTTCCCTGAGCTCTCTGCGACTCCGCCGCCAGAGAGCTCTTCCAGGGCGAAGCCTTAGCGCGCCAGGCAGGCAACCCATGACCTGGCCTTTGTCTGCCTTTGCCACCTCATACCCTGCTGTGCCCCAGTGTCCCCCATGTGCCAGCCTTGCCAGATACAAACCTGCTGCGGAATGCTCTCCTCCCCAGCTCCTCCTCTGTCCCCCAAGACCTCAAGTTGAAGTTGACCCTCCTTTGTGAAGCCCCCTGGACACGAGCCTGGCAGCACGGTCTCCCTCCTTCGTGCTGTTACCCTGCATCCCTGGCACCCAGCATCGTGTTGCAGTGAATGAATGTGGCGTGTGAGGCCATCGGATGTGCCCCAAAGAGAGTGCACGCTAACTGTCCTCGACAGAAACTTCAATCCAGATCCCACCAGCATCACAGTTCCTACCGACAGGCACCAGGCTGGGCATCTGAACACATGATTATCTCCTGTGACCCAATGTGGGGACGTACGTATTTCAGGACGTCCAATAACAGGAATGAAGGTATAAAAACATCATGAAACAATAGCTAAGACCGTGTGAATGATGATAGACAACATGGCCGAGAGAACTGAAGGCTTGAGGCAAAAGGCAGAGCGGGGTGTAACGACAGGTCTGAGAAGCTGCTGAGAGGGAACGCGGAGACTCTGGGCCTGGAGGAGACACCCAGCCCAGGCAGCCTCCCGGTGGTGGGCACCTCGGACATTGCTTCCAGAGCCACAATGCCCCCCTTAAGCCCCACAGGCTCCTGGGTGCCTGGAGTCCCCTGAAGAGTACAAAATGCCTTTATCTGGAACCTTGGGATGTGGCCAAGCTCTTGTGGAGAGAGGTTGCCACCAAAGGGTAAAAGGGGGAGCAAGGCTGAGGCCCCACCCTTTGCTGGGATTGGCTCTGAGGCCCCGCCCTTTGCTGGGATTGACTCTGAGGCCCCACCCTTTGCTGGGATTGACTCTGAGGCCCCACCCTCTGCTGGGATTGGCTCTCTCCCTTGAACTGAATGGGCAGAACAGCTGGGGAAGAAAATGTGCTTGGTCTCATGCCTGAGAACACCCTGCACGCTTTCTCCCTGCCCTCTTCCTTAGATGGGAGGGTCTCCCTCTCTCTCTCTCTCTCTCTCTCTCTCTCTCTCTCTCTCTGTGTCTCTGTCTCTGTCTCTCTCTCTCATCTTCCCCTCTCTCTCTCATACACACAGGCTAGTTAATCCCGGTTCTGCTGCGGTTGCCACTTTCTAGGGCCCTGGAAGCAGCCCTGAAGTTGGGTGTGAAACGAAGGGCTCAAGATTAGGAGTGGGCTTTGCTACTAACTGGCCAGGTGACCTTTGGACGAACCTCTCATTCTGGCTGAACTTCAAGTCTTTATCCATAAAATGAGTACAAATTCACCTTCCTCACTAAAGTGTGGAGAGATTTATGTGTTCATAAAATGCTCTATAAACCATGAAACGTTTTCACAGATGCAGCGTGCCACTGTTGATGCCATGATTACGCCCTTGAATAAGCTGACCCAGGGTGTCGGCCTCCCTTTTCTCTCCCCCGGAGCGTCACAAATGTGCTTTAGAATCTAACACACCAAGCTGTCAAGTTATCCTTGGAAAATCCTTTGACTCCCACGATCCTGCTTTCTGTTCCCCACTGCTCATCTCCCCACCACATTTTACATGGATCGCCTCACATAATCCTTATAACCTCTATGAGAAGGCATTCTCGGCACCCCCACTTTACAGATGGGAAAACTGAGGTTCTCAGACAGCTCGAGTAATTTGCCCAGGGTGGCCCAGATGGTAAGCCGTGGAGCTGGGGTCTGGCGCAAGCTGTCTCCAGAGCTCACAGCTGTAACCGCCCAGGGGAGGGAGGGGGGTCCCTGCCTGAGAGCCCAGAGGGTGAGACGAGAAGGGGGAGCAGAGCAGGGCCACCCCTGAGCTGTGAGGACGCACATGGTGCTGGAGGCAAGATTCGTGTCCTCGTGTTTGATCTTCCCATCCAGGGCAATGCCCCTCCTTTCGCGGTTGTTGGCCAACAAGGGCACCAGCGTCAGCGTCGTGGTCAGGGTGCTGCTCGGCGGCACTCTTTCTCTGCAGGAAGAAAATCAGAGAGGAGATCTGGCTAATTGCTTTTATGGCCATAAAGCCGTCATTGACCCCAAAAGACCCCATCTGCCATCAAGCAGTTTCCAGAATCCGAGTTCCCTGAGACGCACTGGAAAGACAGGAGAGTATTACTGAATCTCAGAGCAGGCTGCCAGCAACATTAGGACGTTTCTGCAAGTCCCTCAGCCTGCTTTAATCACTGAACTTCTAGAATGTTCTGTGGGGTAACATGAGACTGACTGACCCAAGGGTCAGGGATCACACTCAGTCTCCTCCATGGGCTGCAGGGCCACGTGACCAGTGCCAGCAACAAGCCCAGGCTGGAAGTCGCCTGTCACCCAAAACTGTCACTGTGAGGGGGATCAGTGTATCCCCAGGGTGGTGGGCTGTTGAGGGGGCGAGACAGGGTCTTTATATACAGACTGAGCTGGCTTGGGTTCAGAGCGGCCTACCCTCTTTCTCTCCCAGGATCTTCTCCATCGATAGATGGGGGTGTTTGTGTGTGGGGGGGTGTTCCCCAGCATCTGATCTGACAGAGGCAGGGGACCCATGCCTGGGATGGAGCAGCATGGGCTTCTCCAGGTCAGGCGGCTTCCCGGCTCCCTGAGCAGCGGCTGAGGCTGGAGAGCTGGCTCTGTTTCTCACCCACGTGAGAACTTGACACCAGGCCTGCCTCGCGCCTCATCCCCACCAACCCTATGGCCGAGGAGGGGCTCTCAGGATCTCCACTGTGCAACCGGGTAAGTGTCCCCACGGTCACACAGCCACACATTCTCTCTGACTGCAGAGCCCAGGGGAACCAGCAGCTGTGTCAAGGCTCCCTGCACACTCTCCATCCCTGTACCGGCCAGAAGGCAAGGCATGGCGCTGAAAACATGGCCCAGGAGCCGGCCTCAGGGTCCTTTCCTCAGCTGGCTCCAACACAGGCTGGAAGTCTGAACTTCTACCCTTAGAAGGGTTTCCCTATTTGAGCCCCCGGGGAGTTTTAGCAGCCCGGCTTCTCCCACCTCCAGGGTACACAGGAGGCTGCTGGGCGTGCTCATTACAGAATTCTGCTGGAGCCCAAGGTGGCCCACACCTCTCCCTTGGGCCCTGGTGGAACCTCTATGAATGAGCTTGGTTTGGGTAGCAGAATGACAAAAGCAGAAATTGCACTTATATAAAGGTGATGTTAGCAGGAAGGGGATGGCCTTTCGTGCAGCCGGGACGGCCACTTCCCAGCACCTTCACGATCTGGGACTGGGTGCTCGGCAGCAGCTCGGGAGTCAGGTCTGAACTGGTTCTGAGGAGGCCCACACATCAGAGCCCCAGGAGCCCTAAGGCTTTGGGGACAATGGCTTATGCTCTGCAGCCTTCTGAGTGGCCTCTGGTCTGAGACCCGCTAGCATGATCCTGTCCAGGTTTCAGTCTCCCTGCCACCCTTGGGATGGACCCTAGAATGACTCCCAGCTTCTTGGGAATCATTTGGTCTAAAATGCACCCAAGAACTAAAAAGAGAACCAGATAATGGGGTGTATTAGGGGAAAACTCAGCCAAGGACCATTCTTTATCACGGTATAATAAGAGAAAAGGTGAGCCAGGAAGCTCCCAGGACACAAGGATGTACAAGGATGCCCCCTAAAAGAGGCCCTAGGCCTGGCACCAAGGAGGCAGTCAGTGAGCTGTGTGTCTTTCCTGCCCCTCTCCCCTCTAGATCTGTATCTGAACTTAAATCTGGCTCTGCTTTGTGTAATAGTCTATCCAAAGTTGCCTTTTAAATATTATGTAATATTATCTTGCTGAATCACTTTGTCTTTCCTCACCACCCCCTTCCTCTAACCATGTTAATATTTTTTACATACAATGGCACTTAGAACATGCCAGCTAGACAAACACCTTCCCAGGGATCCTCTGTGTGTGTGTGGGGGGGTGTAACCCCCAGAAGCCTGTGTGTCTAATGAATCTATCTGACTGCCGAGCACAAAGCAGAAGTGGGCAGGTCTTTCACTCTCCCACGAAGAAGCCATCGTGGGATTCTCATTTGGTTTTGATTCTAATAAAGGGAGAGAAATCATTCAGGACAACGGGCTGAGAATTACAAAAGCGCAGCTAATCCGGTTGTCATTGGTATAGATTTTCAAATTGAGAGGAAGGGCAGAAAGGTCCAGCTGTTCCACTGTGACCTCTCCACCCTCGTTTCTGTCCTCTCCACCATGCCTCCCGTCCCTGAGCTCTCAGGACTCTTGGGGGGGGTGAATGTGGGGGAGATGCTAGCTTTCTCTGCAGATCCTTGAAGTGAGAAAAGGGGAAGGAAGGCGATGGCTGGAGAGCTGGCTGAACATTCCACTTCTCTCGTCAGGATGAACAAAAAAGGGGAACTTGACAAAGAAGCCTCAGCCCCCCAGGAAGTAGAAACCCAGCCAGTTACTCACTGTGCTTCCTCCGCGGCCACCGGCTTGACGTAATAGTCACTCGAGTAGAGAACCACATTGGCCACTTGTTCGACTGCAAAAGAAGGACAGGGGTGGGTGATTCATGTGAGGTCCACACACGCGCCTGGTGCCACCTGGCTTTCTGGGCATGCGGTGGGTCCTCCCTTTTAATGACCATCTGAGGGTGCTTCTCAGGTTTGCCTTTCTCAGCTCAGAGCATAAAGGCTGAGATTTCTGAGGCTACTTCTGTTCACCGATAACCTGCTCTGTGTCAATGCCCACCCACGAGCCAGTCTCCTAAAACTGCACCTCTTGAGAGGCCTTGTCTCTGCTGTGCCCATGGTATGTCCCTCCAGCACCCCAGAACACACCACTTGTTCTCTTTCTCCAAACCCGCCCCCTTTTTATTCTCTGTTTTATTGAATGAGCATCTCCTTCTGGGTGTCCAAGCCATAAACCACCTGCAGGCAGCACAGGATGGAAACAGGAAGGCGAGCTCTAGGTTCAGATCCCTTGGCTGTCAGCTGTGGGGTGAGTCACTTAGCTCCTCTAAGCCTCAATCTCCCCGTCAGCAAAATGGGGGTGATAATTGCATCTAACTCATATGGGTGTTGTGATGATTAAGAAGATGATTTTTAATCTCCATTAAAATCAGATTTGAGAATTGAGAGAGATACTTTGGGGGAAGCGCTTGGCACAGTGCCCAGCCAAGAGAAAGCTGTTAACATCTTGCTTCAGAAAACTCGACAGCTTCTCTCCAAAATCAACGGCTTTGATGTTAGGATTCATACAACTTTGAGGAATAATTTTAAATCAAAGTATCAAATGATACTTTCTCAACCCTGCTACTTTGTGGAACAATGTATTGGACACTACATACATCATGTTCCACAAATAAGCCAGGTCCTAGGAGGACTTAGAGGCATAAACCATAAAACTAAGCCAACATAAAACATAAAACAAAGCTGTAAATTAAGCATTCGTATTAGCATTAGGAAATATCTAGAATTCTTTAGTATGCATGCATCGAAATTCCTGACCCTTCTCTGTGATGGATGCGTGGGCAAAGAGGGCAGTGGAGTATGACACCTAGGGTGACCAGCCACCCTGGTCTGCCGGGACTGACCCCGTTTTAGCACAGAAAGCCCCCGGTGGCCTGGGATGGTCGGTCACCCTCACACACTAAGTCTGTCTTTGTCTTAGTCATAGAATGTTTGACTTAGACGTGAGCTTGGAGGTCTCCCTCCCAGGTCCTTCTATTGAGTCTTTTTGAAGTAGCCCACATAAGACCATCACAGATATAGGACCATGCCCTGCACTTCGATGCCCTTTGGGCAGAGCAAGCGTGCAGGAAGAGCCAGCAGAGGTGCTTCTCCTGCAGGGTTCTTGGGGCGTGGCCAGCAGTTAGGGGGAGTCAGCAGGGGCAGAGACAGGAGCGCTTTGCCGTTTACAAGCCTGTCCACGTGTGACCACCCTTAGTGCCTCACAGAGCCCAGGAGGGCAGCGCAGGGGCTGCTGTGGGTGCCCGTGGGATTCAGGGAGGATTGGCACAGCCCCAGCCCCGGGGACGCCCAGTGCTCTGGGCCAGTGCTCCCCCACACTGTGCTCAGCTGTCAACAGGGCTCATCACTGATCCGAGGAAGGAAACTCCTCTCCTGGCTTCCCCCTGAAATCTGGCACGGGGTCCCCTCCAGGGAGGCATGACATGGAAGATGGGAGCTCGCCTGTTGGGTTGTTGTCCCCAGACCAAAGACAGTCCTTCGCTGGGCACAGGGTTGTATGAGATGACACTGAAGGGCTTTCCTCCCTCAAGCTCCCGTCGTCCATGACAACAGAGACAAACAGGTGGTTCCAAGGACCCAGGAGGGCCTATCTGACCAGAGGAGAGACACCCCTTCCCCGGAAATAGAACCAGATGGAGGAATTCTAGAAGGCTCTACCCTCCAGCTTCCAGCAGAAGGTCCTACCAGATACTTTAATCTTCTTCACTGTCTTCTCTGTGTTGTTGGTCACGGTCACGGTCACAGGAATGGGCTCCCCATGGAAGTAGATCTGAAACAGCAGATAAACCAGAAAAGGGGACAGAGTGTGGCAGTGCCTTTCATCTCACAGCTCTCTAATGTCACCTCAGTCCCTTAACTATTAGGTTGTCGGAAAAGTGATGATGCATTTTTGCAACGAAAAACAGAAAAAATACGTCATGACTTTTCTGACAGCCCAATAGAATAAAAGTAGCTGCACTCCCATACTTTGAAGGAAGAGAAAGTGACAGCTACACGGTTCCTTTAGAGAAGGGTCCGGGGGCCGGCCGAGTGGCTCAGTTGGTTAAGAACTCGCTCAAGAGTTTGAGCTCTGAGCAACAGCGGTTCGATTCCCAGCCCAAGCTGAGCAGCCGCTGAGCTGCCAACAGGTAGCAGGATGGCTCAGCTTATAAAAAAAAAAAAATAGAGAAGGGTCTGAAACATGTTCTGCCCTGTCCGCGGGGTGCTGAGAAGGGTAATGGGGACCAACATGGAGTGGAGTGAGGGTGCTCCTGCCCAGAACGCCGGGGCCTGAGAGACACCGTGGCGTTTGCCCTGGGGTCTTCAGTGGGATCACAAGTTTATTTGGGGCAGGTGGTGCCCGTGTAACCTGGGCCCAGGTGGGCATGTCCTTGCACATATGTGCATGCACACACACACACACACACACACACACACACACACACACACATACACATGCATGGTCATCATGCACTCAGGCGGGCACACACCCACCTGCACACAGAGTGTTAGGTTCTTGCCAACAAGTTGCATGCCTCTTGGTGACCAGAGGGGCCAAAGACAGCCTTGGCTGGTGGTTCTTCACCTTTCTCCATTATGACATACCTCATAGGTGACATTCACATGAGACATGGCCAGCCCCTCCTGGTTTTCCAGGGAAGTAAACAGTTTGCCATACCACACCCATTGGTTCCACAGTAGTAAACTAGGCCCATGGGGCAGGAAGGGGCAAAGACAGCCCGGACTGGGGGTACGTGAAACCACCCCACCAGCCAGTCAGGACTGACATGAGTGGAACGCAAGCCAGTGTGACCCTATTCTAAAAGTCACCTCGGGGGGCTGGCCGAGTGGCTCAGTTGGTTAAGAGCTCGCTCAAGAGTTTGAGCTCTGAGCAACAGCGGTTCGAGTCCAGCCCGAGCTGAGCAGCCGCTGAGCTGCCAACAAGTAGCAGGATAGCTCAGCTAAAAAAAAGTCACCTTGGGCCGGCCGAGTGGTGCGTTGGTTAAGAACTGGCTTGGGAAGCCAGAGGGCCCCGGTTCGGATCCCACATATGAGGGCCAGTGACACTGCCCTCTACAGCTAAGATGCTGAACAACAGCTCAACCTGGAGCTGGGCTGCTGTGAGTCGCCGGTGACGGCGTAGGCTGCAGCCCCTGCTGCAGTGGGTTGCCATGGGCTAACGTGTGTAGCCAGCAGCCAGCGTGAGCAGCCAGCAGCCGCCGTGAGCGGCCGTCCAGAAGCCAGTGACTGATCTGCCTCACCCAGGAAGAATGCAATGATGGTTCCAACTTGGGCCAGTAAAGCAACATCCTCCACAACTAGACTGAAGAACAAAAGGACAGCAACTTGTCTGTTCCCCTTCCCCCAATTCCCCAGCACTGTTCCCATCCCCTCAATTCCCCAATAAAAATCTTTAAAAAAAATTAAAAATAAATAAATAAATAAAAGTCACCTCTACTAGCTGCAAATTATGAAAAAAAAAGGCAATCATTCTCAAACGTTGGTGCTTCAACTATCCCTAGAAACACACCCACAGCATTAGGGTGCCGGGGCGGGGCCTGTCACCCAGGCATCCTCACACGCAGGACACAGTGGCGCCTGTGGGTTACCTCTTTGCTGAGGAAGACTGTGAGGTGCAGGGGCTTGTTGGACATGAAGAACTGCCAGGCGGCCTCAGCTCGTGGCTGGGGGCCCATCTTAGACGGCGCGTGCTGCACCTTACGGATCAGTAAACGCACAGAGCTCCTGTGGACGAAAAGTCACACACAGCCCTGCACTAGCACCGGGCCCCTTCAGGACGGCCCCCAGGACCCTCTCCCTGATCCATCCTGGGACCCAACAAAGACACCAGGTGAACCTTAAGAGGGAGGGGCCCGAAGACCTGGTGTCAAGTCCTTTCTCTGCAACTTCACCTGCTGGGTGGTGTGGGGCCGGTCAGCTCTCCCGAGGGTCACTGTCACCCTTGGTTAGGACCCTGGGCCAGCCTCTGTGGGTGAAGCTGATGTGGGAACGTGTCTTGTGCTTTATGTGACATGCTGCAAATGTGTGTACTCTCATTGCTACGTATCATTGTCGCATCGATAGGTGTGTGTGCTGAGTATGAGGGCACACTGGGAAACCGTGTTCAGCTACGAGAAAAAAACTGAAGGCCAGGTCTGGGGGGACAGGAGAGACGGCGGTGTTGTTCAGTGGGGGCGGAGTTTCTGTTTGGGGTGATGGGACAGAGAGAGGAGACAGTGGTGTAACTATGGTTACACAACATAGTGAATGTACTTAATGCCACTGAATTGTACATGGGAAAATGGTGAAAATGGTAAACTTCATGTTATGTGTATTTTACCACAATAAAGAAATGACAAGAGAAGGAGGAAACTAAAGAAGGAACCTGGAGGCTTTCAGGGGCTCACATGAGCCCCTGGCGCTGCTAACTCCCATCATTTACTCTTGGTTCTTTTCCCCAAATGATCAGCCACTGACCGGCCCCCACCCCACCCTGTTTAGAGGTTCTGCCCTGACCCCCCAGAGCTGGGAAGGCCCCATCACCGTCCCGCGGCACGGTGGGAAGAGTTCTGCCACAGACACAAAGGGAGGGGCAGTTTCTTATCCCCACTCCTTGCCCCCCCGGAGCCCTCACCTAGTCCCACAACGACCCTCTCACCTCTTGGGAATTTTGTCCTCCTCGCCATCTGTACTGTCGGTGGCGAATGCTTTGACCTCGAAGTCCACCCCACAGCACTGCAGTGGCACAGAGCAGACAAGCGGTCAGCACCTCCCTTCTGGGGGTGGGTCATACCTCACAGGGCGGGGTTACCTGGTACCTTCTGTTTTTGTTTCAGTCTTACATACCCTTTCTAGGGTTCACCATTAACATGTCCTTACCCACCATCACCGGGCTTCCTTAGCCATGCTACCCCTTGCTTCCGGTCCCCCCACCCACTCCCATGTACACAGCTTCCTGCACAAGCCATGCCCTGCACCAGTCTACCCTGGGTACACTCTATTTCTTCTTCTTGAAATCAACGCTTCAGTCTCTCCCTCTCTCCCTCTCTCTCGTTTTCATATTTGACAAACTCCTAGGTATTCTCCAAGCCCCAGCTCAAAGGTCTTCTCAGCTGTGTGGCCCCAAGGCCCCCAGGCATGCGGACTCGCCCTCCCTGAGCTCTGATACCCTCTTCTCCTGAGATAGACAAAAGAGTGGCACTTTGGATGGCATGTGTCTCCCACTCTAACTTGGTGCCCTCGTCTTCCTCCATCTCTGCTGTCCACACCCATTTTCACCACCATGGTAAGAAGTAAAGTCTCTTGGGCCGGCTGAGTGGCACGATGGTTAAGAACTGGCTTGGGACACCAGAGGGCCCCGGTTCGGATCCCACGTATGAGGGCCAGTGACACTGTCCTCTACAGCTAAGATGCTGAACAACAGCTCGACCTGGAGCTGGGCTGCCGTGAGTTGCCGGCGACGGCGTAGGCTGCAGCCCCTGTGGCAGTGGGTTGCCATGGGCTACCGTGTGTAGCCAGCAGCCAGTGTGAGCGGCCAGCAGCCGCCATGAGTGGCCGTCCAGAAGCCGACAACTGATCTGCCTCACATGGGAAGAGCGCAATGATGGTGCCAACTTGGGCCAGTGAAGCAACGTCCTCCACAACTAGACTGAAGAACAAAAAAACGACAGCAACTTGTCTGTTCCCCTTCCCCCAATTCCCCAGCACTGTTCCCTTCCCCGCAATACCCCAATAAAAAAAAATAAAGAAGTAAAGTCTCTAATGTGGCCCAGCAAGCAGATAGGCATTTGAGAAACAGCTGCCAGGAAGTAACACAGGCTTTGCTGTGTGTGAGGCCCTCCGAGATTCCCCATTCTAGTCTGCGTCATTGCATTCCACTTTCCTTACGCGCCATGTCTGACCCAATGCACTGAGGACGCATACCTCTACCAGGGCAGGCACGACCCCGCATTGAAAATCCCTGCCCACTGGTCACTGCATCCCTGCACACCGCAGCTACTGACCTGCCCCTCTCTGTGTCAGCGGGCATCTTTTTCGCTCCCTCCCTCATGGATGCTGACACCAAGGATTCTTCAGCCTGCCTGTAACCCTGGGTCCTAGCACCTTTCGCTTTCTCTTCCTGTCCTCACCGCCCGCTTCCTTGCTTAGAGTTCCTGGCCCTCCACGGTCTCTCAGCCTGTTTGCTTCTCTGCCTGTTCGGAGCTCATGCTTGGCCAAGCCGGCCCCACTCTCAGTACAGTGGCCAGAGCGAGCCTTTGGAAACCTAAGTCAGAGCCTATAGTTCAGAGCCCGCCAGTGGTTCCCATCCCACTCAGACCAAGTCCAAGTCCCCACAGTGGTCTGCGAGGCCCCGCATGATCTGGCTGCACCTCGCACACCTGTCTGACCTGCTCCCGCCATTCCCCCCGCTGCTCCCGCTCCAGCACGCAGCCTCCTGGCTGCCCCAGCACACAGCACACATGGCGTCCCCTCCGCCTGGAAGGCTGTCCCCTAGGAGGACATGGGTCCTGCTTCTCCCTCTTAGAGAGGCCGCCCTTAAACAGCGTGAACGAGCACCCCCGCACCCCCAGACTCTCCTGTGCCTCTCAAGCCTCTTGCTCTCCACAGCGCCTGCCGCCCCTAGATCATTGTTATTGGCTTTTTGCCTGTTTCTCTCCCTTAACCTGGGAGACCCACGAGGGGAGGGAGTCTACTATTTTGTTCACCGGGTTGCTCAGGGTTAACACTTGCTGAAGACAAGTAATAGACTGTCTTTCTACTTTTGGTACATTTGACGTTTTCCATGGGAAAAGGCCATTTTTAAAAGTCGTTTGAAGGAACGAGTGAATCCACGGCCTTTCTTCTGGAACCTACCTTGCCCGTATCCTGCGGAGCTGGCTGCAACATGACTGAGCAGGGTAGGTAGTCAGGGAACTGTGGAAAGAAACGACAAATCATTTCCTTCAGAGGAGGGTATTCCACGTGTAATCTCTACTCGTCATACAAAACAACTGGAAAACGAAGATACGGAGCAAGCAAAACGGAAAAGACGTTCTCACATGCTTCTAAAACCCGGAAACATGTCGTGACATAAGCACCGAAGTGTCCTGTGTGCACCCAGCACACAAATATGGACGGAGAGCTGTGTTTTCCAGGAACAGGGCCAAATGATGTATGTGTCCTGTCATCTGGCTTGCTCGTGACACTAACCCCAGCCCTAACCCTTCAGGAGGCAGTACGGTGATGTCCACACCACGAGTCAGGGCTCCCCAGCACTGTTGTTAGGGCTTCTGCAAAACCACGTCTCATTTACCTAGCTCCCTTCGTTGGCCGGTCTTTACTTTTTTTGCCATTATCAGCAGTGCTGCAATAAATGCCCTTCTTCATCCGTGTCAGCACAGTTTTACTCAATTAACTCCACAGGCTACACGGCTACAAAGGGAATTGTCAGGTCAAAAATCACATTTTTGAGGTTTTGATACACGTTGACATGTCGTCTCCAAAAGGTTATGTCACTTCAAACGCCCAGTGCCAGTGCACGGGAGCACCCAAGCACGTGAAATTTTTTACAAGTGATTTTTAGAAAAGAGTTGTGGTAAAATATACGTAACATAAAACTCACCATCTTAAGTGTGCAGCTTGGTGGCATAAAGCACATTCACACTGGTCTGTACAAAGCTCCAACACCATCCCCAGAGCCTTCCTATCTCCCACAATGGAGCTCTGTCCCCATTACCCGCGGACTCCCCAGCCCTCCTACCCAGCCCCTGGGAACCTCCATTCTCCTTCTGTCTCATGGGTTGGAGTTCTCTAGGGACCTCATGTAAGCAGAATCACTGTTCTTTAGTGACTGGCTTCTCTCCTTATGTTCTCAAGGTTCGTCCATGTGGTAGCATGTGTCAGAATTTCCTTCCTTTTTAAGGCTGAACCATGTCACTTTGGAGGAGTATATAATCTTAAGACACACAACACGCTAGCGAAGAGAGTAGCGGCAGCTTTCCCCATCTTGAGTTCACACCAGGTCTCAGAGGCACACAGCTGTCCCGCGGGTGGCCAGGTTTCCCCAGGGGAGATGGGAGCTCGAGAGAGATGAAGCGATTGATCTGCGGTGACCCACGGAGCTGCAGACCAGGCTTATTTCACTAAGCTCGCCCGTCCGTAGGAAACACTTTTCTGTTTAGAACGTCTCAGGGCCAAACGAGGGGCACGTCTTTCTTTTTATAGATGAGCAAGTGAAGGAATAGCGCACGCATGTAATTAGGTGGTTGGATGAAGGGAAATATTTAAACCGTAGGTTCAAACGTTGCCTTCAAAGGCTGAGAGGCTATTTTCAAGGACTTTAAAAAAAGACAATCACAGCCCGTGCAATCTAGAATTTCCTCCAAGGGTGCAATTTGAAGGCCCACAAATGTGAAGTCATTCCTCTATCCCCTTTCCTTCGCTCCCAGTCACATTACAAGGTGCCGTGGCTGAAGGAACCAGGACAAGGGGAGTGCATGGGGACAGGGGTCACCCACCGTGAGCAGGAAGGGGTAGGTGTTGGCCCCCAGCTTCTTGATCAGGCTCTCTTGCAGTTTCGTGGGGGCACTGGCAGCCCCCACAGGTGGGAACACCTGGACCCGGGAGAAGTACAGGTCCCTGCGGAAGCTCAGGCCGATCACATCGATGTCTTCCTGGCCGTAGCGGAAGGCGCATGTCACAGAGACAAACACTGGATGGGAGACAAGAGAAGGATGGCTTGCCTGTCTGCTGAGGGAGCACGTGGCGACCGCGACACTGTTGGTGATGGCGTCCAGCCTTTGGCAGCTGGAGGGCGTGGGGTCTGAGAACCCTACGGTGCAGCCGGGCCACACACTTGTGGAGAAGAAGCACCTTGCCCCGGGTGTGTGTTCATTACCCTACACGGGCACGGCAGAGACTGGGAGGCACCTCCTATGAACCACATTATTTTGCCACCTGACCCCACGGCTTCCTCCGTCTCACCCCCAACCCCTCTTGACCCCCCAGCTTAGTGAGCTCAGGAGGCTTTTAAACAGTGCAGGTGGTTTAGGCTCTGAGGGCAGGATGCCTGGACGGAGCTGAGGGGGAGGGTAAGAAGCAGGGGGAACTGCCAGGGAGCCAAATGGGTCTGTGCCCGAGCGGGACACGGACGGACGGGCTGTGAGAGGAGCTAGGAGGGGCTTGTGGGCCAAGCGGGGAGATGACACCAACCCTGAGAGGAAGCCCTTCTTTTCTGCACTGCTCAGAAACAAGCATCCTCTGAATCACCACTTCTCAAAACTCAATTTGATTAAAAAGATGTAAATTGTGCCCCCAGTGGACCAAAAGAATTATAAGAACCTACACGTTGTAAGGGTGGACTACTGACACTTTCTTTAACGTGAGAAGTGAAACCACACGAAGCACATTCCTCTTGCACTTGAGGCATACGGAAGCGGTCCCCCAACTCCACGGAAGTTCCTGGCTGAGGATTCTGTCTGTGTCTGCCCCAGGGGGAACTGGCCCTCGCCGCTAAGCCCAGAAGAGACCCTGACCCCTGGCCTATCCCTCATCCGATGCTTGTTGGAAGGTGCCCAGAGACGGCCTGGCTTTATCCTGCTCGCCAGGCAGCACTTTCCCTCAGAGCAGGCGCCCCTCCCTGGCAAGGGGGAGGGTGATCAGGGCTCAGGCCAGCCCCCTCCAGGTGCCAGAGAGAAGCGAGGCACCTCGAGGAGGATGCAGACAGTAGAGGGGGCGAGTTCCAGGGGTACACCCAGGGCTAGGAGCAATTCCAGTGGTGGCCAGGAGCAACCACTCAAAAAGCATCATCAGGATGGAATTGAGTCCATGACAGTATCACAAGGATAATTCAAATCTATTTGAATTTAGCTTATGAATTGTTATTAGTGCCAAATTAACTGCCACACACATACCAACTGCCAGAGATCTTCAAGGGTGCTGTGATGCTGTGGTTCAGAGCCACCACAGTAAGCATCAAAACGAATTTGGCCTTCCAGAATGTTCCATTTCCTCCTTTTCCTTTAAACCCACCAAGGAGCCCTCTTGCGGTTGTTCCTGGCATAGAACTACATGACACGGGGACGCGTGCACAGCTGATGGAGCAGGCAGACCTAGGGCTCTGAGCTCTGCCCCTTCACTTATCCTGCCACCCCAGTCACGTGGCTTCCCTGAGTCCTCACCTTCATCTGAGAAATGGGGACAGTGAGCTCTGCTCTGCATAGGACCAGTGTCCTGAGGATGATACGAGGGAGTGTGGGTGAGGGGTTCCGGCAGCAAGCGGGTGTGCCGGAGCGTGCCAGCTGCCCCGCCCCT